TTTCTGCAAAAAATCTTAAGTTTTTTGCAGAAATGCTCAAAATATCATGGCAGGTTTTATGCAACATTAACCTGTTCTTGTTGAGTCACCACTGTGAGTATTTAAATTTGTCATTGTGTGTCCAACTCCAGCAGATCCCTGAACATGACGAACCTGACAGACATCACCTAATAGCAGCTGCCTTCTACCCCTTCACATGCCTACGGTTTGGACAGCAGTCAGAAATGATATGGACTAGGTACAGTACAGATAAGGTACAGTATATGGCTACCTGTACAAAGACTTACTATTGTTTGATTAGGTCCATGTTGCATAGCATTTGCAATTCTATTTTAAGAATTGTAGGGTACAGTAAACAATGGAATGCTCTCAGAAATTACTGTTATAACAGCTGTTTAGTGTTTGCCAACAAGTATGGATTTTTTTTTCTTCTAACCGACAACTTGATGATCTGGAACAACAGCCTTTCGCTTCTCTACTTGACTGAACTGGCTCTCAACAGATCAAAGCTCCTACTTTATACAGTTCTTTTAGTCTTAATCACAATGTGTACAACAAAATGTTTGGATTTAGACGTGACATATTTGGTAGTTAAATGGAACTAAATAGGAAATGCACCAACGTCTCAGAGTTGGAGTTTAAAGAAACGGTCTTATTCATTTGAACAAAACTATACAGAAACTGAGAGTGGCGTCACAAAAAACCACAGAGATAGCATCTTACAGTAAAAACAACTTTAGAACTGGAAAATGTTAGCGTTAATAGTTTTTCCAGTCTTATAACCCGGCAAGTCAATCTACATCTTCTCATTCTACAAATGAAATATCCCAAGATAAAGCATAATGACATACAGCAACCCTGAACATACATTTGTATACAGTACACCAAAATGTAACACACCATAATTGACTTAAAAAGGTAGATTTGCCATAAATACCTGACATGTATAGATATATATATTTATTTATTTATACGTATATATAAAACCACTTCTATTCCCTGTTAAGGCAAATATACTCGCAGTTTGGGGAGTGCATAAAGCGTCAGTGTTTCTAATAAGTTGGTGCAACTGCATCTACAAAACTGCTACTCTCCCATCTATTATCAAACATGCAAACATCAATATACAACGCTGGCTTAAGACTCAGTTCAAACAAACCCGAGTTGTTTGATCAAACCATTTTAGAAGTCCAGTTCTTTCAGTGGAATATTTCCACTGAATAATTCCAATTTCCAAACAGCAGTTGTCGTGATTAGTGTCGGTGTCTGTTCTCAGCTGTGATTTCAAAACCCAACACGGAAACCTCTTCAAACCTATTAAGCCGTACCTCATCGTATACAGATGAGGGGAAGGTGCTACTCAGAGAAAATGTAAAACAGACGATACGTACTGTACATATCAACAACCATGATATACGTGTGTCTATAACAGTGGAGCTCGTTAAATTACACTCGACAATGCTGATGTTACATTAGCTTTACTAGGTAAGGATTTCCCTGCCTAGTTTCTGTTCTAATAACTACACAAAGGTAACACACATTTATCCTTTGGAAATCACTTTAGATATTTGGTCAGACTTAACAGCTGTGACAGTGACAAACTAAAGGTTGTTGTTGTCACACAACCACCAGTGACTCCCTGTACAGCAGGTTCAGATTTGGACGTTCTATGGTCAAATACCAGTTGTTGTCTTCCACCCTCACAAGTAAGCATTGTGGGTAATCACCCACAGAGCAAGAATACGTTTACTGGCACGAATCCACCAGTATGAACGTTCTTAAAAACTTTTCAGACCAACCTATTTCTCTTGATAATAACCATTCATTTGCTTATTTTTTAACACATATGTGCATTATGTATATGTAATGTATTTTTGTCTCACCAGGGACAAACTGAGAGTTTGATCTCAGGTCTACTAATTAAAAATATGAAGCCAATGTGATTAAATTGTTATTAAAGCCAATGCATTAAATTCTTACTAGACTAAGAACAGCCTCTTCATGTTTGTCCCCACAGGGAAAAATAGTTTTCTGGATCACTGTTGATGTTTTAGGTTTTAAAAAAATCAAACAAAATATAAAAGTTCTCATTGTTAACTGTTTATGACGGCTAGGTTTTCAAAGCACACCTATTTTTAATAATCCAATTCCTTAAAGTGATTATTTTAAAAGGAGAAGAATGTATTACATATGGTGGAATTCTGCAAAAAAAAAAAAAAACACAGTCTTCAAGTTAATTACTGTGTAAAACGGGGCCTACCACATACTATTGCGTTTTGCTGTAGGTAACCTCTAGGCTACACTTCAACACGTGTACTCATGTGTAGGACTAGATGCCAAATGGGGCATGAAGTAAAAGAGAGTTGTTTCCCAAGAGTGAATCCACATTTATATACATGTAAACATGGTCATTGTCATGTACAGCTAAATGTGTCAATTCTGTACAGCAGTCACCATCATGGGCCACTTTAATTAAAGGTTCAATGTAAGGGTGCATTTCTTGGCCGAGTGGTGACTACATGTGCACGAGTTTGCTAATGCTACCATACGGGGAGGTACAACACATGGTACTGCTACAAAGAAAGCACTAGATCTGAATGATCCTGGTCTGGCACTGTGTAAACATTGCCTTTAGCTCACTGGCTTGGACCTCGTTGACAGTATCTGGTTCAGGACTCTTCTGTACCTTTGCCACAGCAAAGCTGATCCCTTGGGTGAGACCTGCCTGGGTGAGACTGGCCACCTGCACCATTGAGCTCTTGATTTTGGCAAAGGGAGAAACCACTCGGCTGCTGTTGCTGTCTGCGGGTGAGGGGCCGAGGCTGCCTTCTATCTGAGAACCGAGACTCCTCTGAGAGCCCCCTGAGACTGCAGAGCTGGGCTTCTGGACTGGGAGGAGGTTGGAATTGGAGGTAGCAAACTGGACATCG